TTGTTTCATGTTTCAGCAGCAAAGTAAATAGTCCCTTTTTCCCCCACACAGGTGCTGTGAAGAGCAACAGAATCACATGCTTGAGGCATTCAGGTATGATTGTGTTGTAAGTCACAGGCATATGATTAATACCCGTATTCGTGAAAGATTTTGGAATCCTTTTGAGGAATGCAGCGAGGATTTAGACAAAGGGAAATATACCTAGTTAGCAAGGTTTTGAGTGTAGTTTGTTGCTCCCTTTGTTCTCTGTAGCAAGCAGGTGAAGAAAAGGGCCTCTGAGGTAAACCTGCTCCCTGATGAATAGGGAAATCTGAGGGGCTGGAGCACATAACCTGTTTAATCTAAGGATGCCAGAAAGAATCTGTGAAATTTGAGGGTACCTGAACAGGCATGGAAACAAAAAATCCAGGAGAGTCGGAGAAGACAGTCGGTCTTTTCTTTCTTGTCTTTGAGCAGCCCTTGTCTTTTGACTTTTTAAAAACAAGGGAGATATTCCCTTTAATTTTTCTTCACAGACTCAGCCTACCTGTTCTGGCCAACGCACTCGGCTGCAGCTGCAGGGTCAGCCTCTCTGATTGCACTGCTTTTGTGACTCCCTTTTCCTGATTTCCAGCATGCTGATACCACCCAATGCACTCCAGTCAGCAATGCTCCTTTCCCTCAGCTCATTACCTTCCAGGTCAAGAAAGTGTCTACGAGCAGAAAGCACAGACAAAAGAGCTTAAGATGGTCTTCCCTTCTGCAAGCTTCAGAGAGCTGCTCTAGCTGAGCAACTCACTGCAACAGCAACGAGGTAGGCTACCATGAAGAGAAGAAAATAAGGAAAACAAAACAAGACCAGGGCGAAGTCATTGACCCTTATTTCCTTCTACAGAGAATTGCTTTAAAAGAGGAATCCAGAGAAACACCGAGATGCAATCGATGGTCTTACCTAGCATTTTATTGCTAGGTAGACTGAGTATGTCCATAAACATGAACAATTTGCTAAGAAATACACCATCTGTAACTCAAGCTGGGAACACAAAATACATCAGAATATGAGGGAAGAAAAAGTCATGAAGTATTTTAAAAAGACCATTCTTACTGAAATAAAAATCTCCACCTTGCCTATAATTTAAAGTGACCAGTACACCTCCAGATTTGCAATCCATTTTTATCAGCATCTTCATACAAAGAGAAATTATGTCTTCAAAATTCAAGGAGTTAATCTATTTTTCAGTGGTAGATGGTCTAACGAGCAGCTCTACAGTAAGAATAAATGGTATTGAGATGTGTCCGTGACAGATGAGAGATCCAATTCCCTGCTCCACCTACCATATTGTTATGGCAATTTTTTTTTTTTGTTAGTGTAATAAGTAAATGCAAGTTCATTATGCAGCCACCAGTTTATTTTGCAGCTGCTTTCCAGTCTATTCACTGTTATTTGCTTAACTATGAATGAAAGAACAGACATCAGAATCCAGAACGCCTGTCCTCGGACACCGTGGCTTACTGGTGAAGAATAATTACCAGCAAGAAATGATGGGACATGTCGCATCTCTTTCTGAGGCTATTCACAGTAAGATGTCAGTCATTCCAAGAGCTAAACATTTAGACTTGCATGGAACCAAAGACAGCAGAGCACCCTTCACTCCAAGTTCTCACTACGCTTCAAGGAACAAAGCAGGAGCCACTTTCTGGTTATTATTCCCCATTTAGGTAAAACTTTGAAATGCTCAATGACAAATATATAACCCGTGTGGGGGAGAGGGGAGAAGCAGGGTGGGATGTACGGGTCACAGACATTTCTACCACAATACCACCCCCCCCAAAGCCAATGCAGAATGATACAGCGTAGACAATCAACTCCCTAAGCTCTTACAGGGCTTTACAAACTTCCACCAAACAGAAACTTTTTACAAGTGAACCGCTTACTTCATTTAAATATGTAGCCTGTATAATCAGAGTCTTTGAAGTAGGGAGACAGATGATCAGGATTAGCCTTCTGATCTTTCCAAATTGTTTTAGCAAGTAACAACTATGCCTGAAGTCTTTTCTGGAAAATTTTATTAGCAACAATGTTTACAACAGTCTTAGAGATCAAGGTTCTCTTAGTATCGCTGTTAAATAGTCTTACAGAAACCGAAATCTTACAAAGCAAACTTAGGCTCTGCAAGTAACAATGATAAATTTTATGTAAATTCAATTAAAATTCCTAATCAAATGAGCTACAATTTTATTCAATGCTCTGTACATATACACATTTAAAAAAAGAAAAAAAAAAGGAGAAAAAAAAAAAAAGAAAGATGTGGTTTCATAGGATCTGCTGGATCCACAGAGATCTCAAGTCTTGTTCTTCATTCACCTACCTGTACCCAAATCCAGTCAATGGATCTTGCATGAGAACATCTAGGTCAGAACAGATCAGGCTCTGGAGCAATTAAAAATAGACCTTACTTTATCAATAAGCCAGAGACACCTTCCCATTTCCAAAAAAGCAGCCAAAGTTGCCTAGTTATAGGCATGTTCCACTGATTAACATGAGCTCAGTAATTTTTCCCAAATTTCAGGCAACTTGAAGAAAAAACTCTCTCCTTAGTGTGCGTTATAAAGGACTGTGCTCTCACTACACATTCTGTGCAACTCCGTAAATTATCAGAAACATTCACAGCCACTGTTTGTAGACAGTGCGTACACAGAAAGACACTGCGGTTTTCACATAGACACAGGAAACATGAATTTCTTTACCTTTTGTTTTCCACCCTCAAGACAAGGAAAACAAAATTTCTTCAGGCAATCTTCCTAGCCCATGCGTATACAGTGAAAAAAGGGGAAAGAGCCCACTCATGAAAAAATGGTTATCATCGCCATTTTATTGAGGAAGACCTAAAATTCATTAACTGTAGTAATTTAATGCAGAAATCGTTTTAGAAGTTTGTTTTCAAGCAATTTCTGGGTGAAAGAAGAAAAGAGAACGGTTTGGGGTTCCTCCCCTCAAACAGCATATCTGATAACTTCAATCTATTTTTATGCAAATGTTTATGAAGAAGCTCACAGTCTTCTTACAGCTGAAAAATGAAATGATGTACAGGAAGACTGAAAGTAATGTTAAACTATGAGCTAGCAATTCCACTGGGGTACTCTGGTGATACCAAATACTATGAGAGGAATTTGCAAAGTAACTACGCACCTGAAGATGAAGTCACTGCGTGTTCTACTTGTTAAACACATGAATCTGGTCACAGTTAAGGGGGAAAAATAAAATAATGGTGTACACAATTACCCTTAACCCTCTTCCAATGCACCATTTCAACTTACCGCTAGAAGCAGATGGGCAATTCTACAAAAGAATTTGAAATACAAACGACTGAGGGCAGGGGAGTTGTTGTTGCTTGCTTTTCAAGCCTGCTGCTGTTCAGAGGCATTTCAGCTTTTTATTTACAGACTGAAGCAATAAGGAGTTACAATCACTTCTCAAAAGTCAAAGAACAGCAGCATCCAGCAGAGAGCAGCTCCTTGCCTCTATCTTGTTGTTTTTATCCTCTCCTTTATGTTTTAATGGTTTATTATCATCCTCTAAATTACAGAATGTGTTTGTTGTTTTTTTTTCTCTCATCCTCTGAAATGGATTTAAAGCATCAATCCATTAAGAAAGGGCAATCGCAGAAGCTGGAAGAAGTGAGGTAGTGCTGTGGGGTCAAGTTTTAAAAAACCCTACATTTAAGTGCATCTCACGTTGCATGCGTACAAAAATGTGCTTATGAAAATACACACATTGATTAGCTCAGAAGTGAAACTTTGGGAAGACATTTGGGTAGTCTGAACTGTTCAGCTACAATTGTGTCTACTTTGGCACCTGAAATAAAGTGCTTTCATGGATGCCCATCGCACACCTACAGAAAGGTGCTTCAGACAACCGCTGAATTAGTTGCTCAGCGTAATGTGGCCATTGGGCAAAAGTTTTCTTTCAGGAGTCTGTATGAATTCTTTGGGCCAGACTCATGCATCCACACCCACAAAGCTGCATGGTATCTTATCACATACATCTGTGTTACTTACATCAGAAAAGATGCATAACTAACTCACCAAAAAGGATCTGAAGCAGAAAGAAAATGCACAGTTAAGGAAAATGAGAGTTGTATCTGTTTCACTTATCAGAAAAGAAAGATGGAGAAATGACTACACAATATGCACTAAGGGACTGTTATAAATCAGAAATCAGCACAACGAAAATGAATGGCTCGAAGCAGGCAAATTAAAAGTATGAACAATGCACCAACATCTACAATGAAGCTGGTAGTCAGTCAACAGACACAGTGGATGCTCCACTTTTGGTACCATTCAGAGCTTTTATAGAAGAAATATCTGTTTGTCTAATACAACCCACAGACACCCAAAATCAAGGAAACTCAGTGACTTAAAACTGTATGCCACCTTTGAACTACAACATGGAGACAAACTCTGCCCTCCTTTGGATAGAACCAGTTTACCTGAACAACACCTGTATGGAGTTTCTAATACACCATTTGACTATTATGGTCACAGTGGTATCTTCTGGACAAAGAAATCAATTAAAGTAGACATCAGTTTGAAAGAGCAAGAAGTTGAGAATGAAATTAAACTTGTAAATGTAAACTCAGTACATTCTCTATGAAAAAAGTTGTCACTCTCTTGCTTCATAATTACCTTTTTTTTCTTTTTCTTAGAGTTTTATAATACTGATTTAGAGACAAAACCCCCCAACCTTCCACACACACACACCTGTGTGACATTCCAGATGTGGAATCCACCATTTAAAACAAAACTGAATATCTCCTTTGCTTAAATTACTGTACCAGTTTCAGGATTTTCAGCAGAGTCAAGAAGTACATTTAGCTGCAAAACTTAAGTTAGGTACATGCTTAAGTGCTCTGCTGAATTAGTTTCTCATAATACTTTCCTCCTCCACAGCGGAGTTCATGCAATAACTTTGCTGGTCACTGACAAAACAGCATTTGGACATAGCAGACAATTGTTAAACAGCTTTTTCTCCTACAGGCTTTTGAAATTAATACTTTATTACTTCATACAAGACAATAAAAATAATAAAAATAATCCCACAACTTTTCATAAAAATTAAAAGGATTTAAAACCAAATCTTATTAAAAAGCCAAACTTTGCACTTAAAACCAAACTAAAGAAATATTATATACACACACATTTTTTTAAGAAAAGATGATGATTTTCTATTTGATATCAACAGGCACTCTTCATTCATCATCTGCAAGAAACTAGGTTAGGTCTCCATAGGCCACAGTCAGAGTTATTAAGTAAGTAAATATGCCACTGCTTCTGTGCCCTCCTTTTATTTCCTTGCTTCTTCAGTCTCATCTGGCTCTCTCTCTTGATGCTCTCTTTCCCACCTCATTTCTTTCAACTCTTGTCTGTACTTCCGTTCAATGAACCGTTTCTGATGGGCCATCTGGGGAAAGTTATCTGACACAAGGAAAAATATTTTACATTAATAAACAACCTGGTAACACAGAAAGCATCACCTCTTTTTTTTTTTTTTTTTTTTTTTTTAAACTTTGATGAGATTAGGGGTAGGGGGGAACAATGTTATCACCATTTTTACTCATTTATTTCTAATAATCCATAGTAAACCAGGGCTGTGTGTCATAAGACTTTGGTTTCTTTATGATTTCCACATCCGTTTCTCCTGCTACAAAGCACTGCCAAATACAATACACTCACAAAAATAAAATATAAAATCCTGGTCTAGCAACATGGCCAGGTGTTACCTGGATTTTACATTCTGTTCCCTTAGCAACAGGTAGTCAATACTGAAAAATGAATGTGAGACTACTGTTAATGCTGTCAGGGCTTTTTTGTCTTGTTCTCACTCCAAAAAGTATGAGCCACTGGTTCCAATCACTGGACAGATGTTTCCATTATTATTATTATTATTTTATACCACACAGAATCCACTATATGCCCCACATTATGGCAGGGTTCCTAATGGGAAAGTAATAGTGTAGCAAAATGGAACGCAGTAAAATCTGTTCCTGAAAAACTTAATGCTTGGCTATGTACCAGAATACAGTCTTAGCGTAGTCTAAGAGCACGGATGAGTGAAGACTGGCTAAAACAGACTAGACAAGGCTGAGGTGATGGAGAAATAGCTAGGGGGATGGATGCTTCTGACTTCAGACATTTGTCCATTGGCTGGTACGTATGTACAGTAGTTAGAACTGAGGCTGTAAAACCAGGTTATATAATTGCTCTCAATTTAGTGCACAGCTGACAGAATATAACATTTTCTGCATGACCAGGGTGCTGACATTCATCTGTGTCTCTGTGCTGCAGAGACCCGCACCCTCCAGTCAGTCAGAGAACAAAGAGGTGGTAGAGTATGTGGCAGCCTGCAGTTGGTGGTAAATCCTGCTGGGATCACAGAGAGCTCTGGGATCAGCACTGGCTACCTATCTGTGTCTGAGATGAACGCAAAAGGTTACTACACGGACCTTTAAAGCCATAAAAAAATCTGGGAGATGTCTCAGCAAAGGACTGCTCTCTCTCTAGTTGGCTACCGAGAGAGAATTCAGCTGAGGCTCCTCCGGGAGAAGTGCCTTGGCACCAAGCGTTTTTCTCCTCTTTCTGGGTCCCAGGCAGCACAGCTAGAGAACATGGTGCAGAAGCCACGTAATCTGCAGCAGGTTGTGGTAGAGCAGAATGACTTTCTACTGCTTTGTTTTACTGGCTGGTGAAATTTGTGCCTTTTATTATATACTACAGGAATAAAAGGTTTATTCATCAGTTATTTACAACTCGGGCATAGGAGGGTATATTTATTTAAACCAGAAAGCAATCTAAACAAAAGCAAATTGTTTTTAAATTGCTGCTGTTTTTAAACACACTAGTGCTTTGTTTAATGGAGTTCTGGGATATTTTGTTGTTCATGTGCACCATAAAATGAAAATCGGATTTTCAGCACTGTGCCTGTAACGTGATTCTTTAAGAACTTTGAAGAACTCAGCTTGGTAGCAACTTGTTTGTTTATAATGCATTTAATATGTTGAGAAGGAAATTTATGTAATAAACTCATCATGGCTATCATATATATAAACAGGTACATGAAAATTACTTTTACTTGAAGTTAACTACTTATGCACTAAAAAAAAAAAAAAAAACAAACAAAAATCTCCACTCCACAAATACATACATACTAGAACAGGTGCCCATAGGGGCTGTGGAGTCTCCATCCCTAAAGATGGTCAAAACTTGACTGGCATGGCACTGAGAAACATGACCTAACTTGAAAGTTGGCTCTGTTTTGAGGGGTGGTTGGATAGAGACCTCTAGGTCTATGGTATTCAAACAAATACATGTCAGAAAAGAGCTGTGAAGTCCTTGGACTGATAGGAGATGAAGCTCACAGCTCTCTGAGCAGCAATACCATCACAAGAAAAAACACTCTAAGGAAACTTCAGTAACATTTTGTAGATATTCATCGAACAAGGGAAGTTACATTTTCCTGCTTGTCAGATTTACTGGTGGTGAGAAGTACATGCCTAGCAGAAGGATATAAAAAAATTCTGAATTACAGGGATTCAATGTTTTCTGAAATTTTTAAGTCCTGGGATTTCTAGATGCAGAGATAACATTAAAAATCTTTGGCATCTGAGGAACTGCATGTCTTTCCTTTGAATCAAATGCAAAAAATGTACCTCCCCATATTCTTCTGAATAGAGAGTTTCTGCTGCACAAAATGTATGTAACGTATTTGCTTACAGTACATCCACACCTGGCACTTTAACTCAACTGACTGAAGCTCTTTCATATACGATGTTTACATACACTCATTCCTTTCATATCTGAGACTCCATTGCAATGAAGGACTGCTCCCATGCTGGCTATCCCATGCATAATTGTAAGAGATGCATACACAGATCGCTGGATCCTCAGCTGATATAAGCTGTTCTTACCAGATAAATATTGACTTACATTGGCTGGGGATCTGCCTGTTAGATTTTAACCTATTCTACTGTATACTCTGAGATCAAATTTTATTTTCTAAATCGGCAACTGAAAAGTAATTTTCCTCCTCCCCTAAATTGGAGGATGAGATGACACTGTCCGAGACCAAGCAGTCTTATTCCACTGCATATTTAAGCATGGAAAATCTCAATGAGACTTCACTGTGCAGAGTTCCCTGTAAGCTGCAACCTCTGTAGCTGATCGACTCCCCTTAAAAAATATCTGTTGGTATCATATTAACTTCACCTGTTACAAAATTGTCTTCAAAGTACTAAGAGGAAAACCTGCTGCTCAGAAGCTGACAGGATTCAGCATAGACGTTCTGTTCAAATCTTATCCCTCACAAAACCTGCACCTCACCTTGCTAAAGACCAAGGATGTAAACTATAAATTCTTTTATTTGTTGCCCATATATCTTACATTTTTCAAGTGCGTCCATTGCAGCTCCCATTTCTGCTTGCTGAATACTGCGAAAGCCAAACAAAAACATGTTACATGAGATAAGTTGTACGGAATAAACTAAAGCTTCTGACAAAGTGGAACACTAGCTACTCTTTTGTAATAAAACTCTTTGGATAATCAGTAGCTAGTAATTCCCAGAGTGTATGATATATCAACCTTTCCATAAATATGTGAGCGATAGCACTACAGTTCTAGTAGAATATTTTTAAACTTAGATCAATAACACTGACAGAATATTCTAGTTCATTCTTCACTGAAGCATTTTCTTTTACTTGAGAGAAAAAAAGGAACAAAATCACAGGGGTGTGAACGCTATAAAACCAATGATATTTTTATAACCACCACCAGATTTGGTAGCAGAAAATAAGATGAGGTCTTTGGGGTTCATGTTGAAGTCTTTGCAACTTTAGAAACCATTCTAAAATGCCTAGAAGTAATAACATCAGAAAAAAAACCTGAGCACCTTGCACCCTTAACTTGCCAGCTTAAGTTGGACAATAATCCAGTAGCAAAGCCAAAGATAAAGTCACTATTTCCTGGAAGCTGTTCTGCAGTTTCTAGTCTGAGAACCACAAATGGGTTAGCATTGCTAGCCACCTTGTAGGCAAGTTCACCAAAAAAGCTTAAGACCCAAAACTATACAGACATTGAACCCTTCAGGTATTCCTGAGGCAGAAACTCAGAATAGCTTGAAGAAGGCTCTATAGCTTTCTTTTCTAAGGCCAACCACACACTAGTCTATCTCCGTGGCTAGTCATTTTGGACACTGCCACACTTAAACTTTAACACAATGTGATTAATTTTTCACTATACCTTGGGCCTTTACCGCATCCTATTCGTTCCCCTTTGAAGTAAACAGCTACTGTGTATGTCCTGGCATGAGATGGTCCCACTGTCTGCAAAGTCCTGAAATAGGAAAGATATGATTTATTCAAGCAGGAAGTATTAAAACCCAGAACCTGTCTGTGGCACATACATCACCAAGCTTTCAGTCTGGTCAATACATAGAGTGGAATTAGTGCAAAGCATGGAGCAAGGGTTGAAAGATGCCTGTATAAATCACATTAACCCAGAGATTACCAGTACGGCACACAATAAAAAGGGGAAATTTACAAAAAATGCACCTTGTTTATATATTGGTTATATTTATTCCTCCAGGTTCACTCAGGAGCACCATATGAAAATTAAAACTTTAGCCTATAAGCAAAAACGCAAGCTATAACACAAAGTGGTTAAAAACTGTGAAAACACTTGTAATAGTCATAAACTCTGCGTAGCTGTGCAATTGCAAATAATCACACCAATATGATTATTGTGTGCACTAAAATTTTAGTCCCTGAGAGTTGTGCAGCTAGCAAGGTTTTAAAAGGACTTTATGTTGGACATGGTAGCTCTCTACAATACTGAATCATCACAGTACAAAGAAATTTTCCATCAGCTTTGAAAAATTACAGTTTGTCACAAAACAAACTTTCCATTTGAGCTAAAGTCTAGGACATGCATCAACAACTATCTAAAGGGAAAAAAAAGATAATTCCTAGACATGCAATGAATTTCTTCTTTTGCTGTTTCTTCCTGCTGTCCCAAATCTCTCTCCACTGTCAGCTCGAGTTCTGTCCACTACCTTGTTTCTTTTTGGAAGGAGCACCAATTTCACATCAATTTTTAAAGCATCTAACTATAGTACTCAGTCTCTGTGAGCTGTGACAAGAGCAAATAAAACCCACCCCAAATTTAAAAGCAATAGTACTGACTGCAGTGAAACAGATAACTCCTAGAAAAGGAATTTAACAAGATAATAGGAAGATAACAGCATATTACTAGGTCTAAGCTGTACTATAAAAATCAATTTATCATCACAGCAAAACAAAACAAACATTTGGTACTTGATACGCAGTGGGTTTTACAGGAATTGGGAATTGTTTCTTTTGTATTCATCTTCCTTACTCAAGACAAAGCTGTGAGCCCTCATACAAAGACACTGAGGAGTCAGATCTGCAGAGCATCAGTTGCAGTGTTAAAGCGATCGTATTTCTGAAGTGCACTGTTTGTCACTATAACTGAACTGCTACATTTCATTGAAAACTTCATTTCAGTAAATGTGACAAATGCACTTAGACTTTCATTCTTCATACTTTTTTGATGTAATAATCCCAACAACACAAGCCTTGAACTTTCATAGCCTTTATCTCTTCTTTTGGGGGCTAAGAGTGCACCCATCCCTACAGTAATTGAATGGATATGGATATAATATACAATCTTAAGTTTATTATTGCCTCTTTGAAGCAGCTATTATGCTATTTTAAAACTGAAAGACAGAAGGGAGATCCATCCCATCCAGCTTCAGGTATCTAACTGAGGTGTACAAGTTAAGAGGTTCACTGCCCCGAGCTCTTCTGTCACTAAACACGAGGACATATGTGGGCTGAACTGCGCGGCGAAAATGTCCAAAACTTGTGTTGCCCTTCAGTGCCTGACTGTGGGTTAGAAACAGAGCCTATAATCAGGATGTGTAACACAAGGCATTTATTACGTTTGCGTAATAATGTAGAGTGTAAAGAAACTTCATACGATGACTGAAAATAGAATGGAGGTATCTTGACTTCATATCCAAACAGCCATTGTTCCATTCATTTCATTCAAAATACTGCCATTCCTTATGTTAAAAGAAGAACAAATACAGAATGATGCCAATGAAATACTCCATTTGAACATAAAAAATATATTGTCCCTTGAAACCGCACAAGGTAAAATGCTTACTAATTCTTCCTTGCAATTGCTTAAAACACCTAAAGCTTGGAAAACATTGGTTCAAGATTTTCCATCTTCAGACAAAGAGAGACTGGAGGGCTTGGACAACTACAATAAAACCAAACTATGGGAAAAACGTAGGGTGACTGATCACATCTTCCTCTATAAACAACTGACAACTAGCTTGTATCCGTAAGATGCCCATTCTTACTTGTAAAGAGGAATGTCTGGCTCTTTTCCTTCTGTCCTGAGAGTCAAGCAGCACTGCTGAAGCTGAGATTTAGGATCATTCCAATCTTGATTTAAAATAAACTCCTGTAAGAATTTCACAAAGATGCTTTTATGATTGAGAGGTTGTGGTAAGAGTCCAAAACACAACAATGCATTAAAACATAATAGCAGCAAAGTAGGAACCTGACTGGTCTTACCTTTAGCCGTGGAAAAAAGCATACATTCATGAAAGTGTGAACGTATTCCAAATCTTTATCAATGTACAGGGCAGCAATAAAGGCTAGGGGAAAAAAAAAAAGGTACTGTTACTCATCCAAGGAGAACATTAATGGCTTGCACTTTTAGAAACAAGTATCTCTGAGTACTCTAAAGCCATATTCAATTATGTTTGACAGCAGTGATCTGATGAGGGTATTATTATCCTGCACACACAGGAAAAAATAAAGTTGACCAAGAGATTAAGTGACTTACCCAAATCCACTCAGTCATTTAAAGAGCTAGAAACAACACTCAGCTCCTAATCTCACATTTTAACCAGAAGACCATGGATACTTACAATAAATCACTACTGGGTACCATAAAAAAGTTTTAGATATATATCACTCCTGTTTGTGTGCAATTTCCATTTGTTAAGAGGATTTGGCAAAAGCCAAGGTGTCTGAATGGCTCACAAAATACATCAAAATATACAAGATACAGATTAACTTTCTTTGCAGAATATTTATCACTGTTCCCACTTTCTTTGGAAAGACGGTAGCAGAAACTTTCATAAATGGACTAAAAATAATTTCAATGTCGCTTTCCCTCTTGTGGAATGACCATTTTGAAACCTCCTAAAATGCAGTCAAATGAGCCACGGAAACATTCACCTGCTGA